CAGGCCGGAAATCAAACACTGTGCAAACACTGAGTTTTCGGTTTATGTTTAAAAGATATGAATTAAGTCAACAAATGGAGATTGTGTTTATCTCTAAAAAGTCAGGTTGAGTTCGTTGTAGTTATGGAAACAGAAACTCTCTCTCTCTCTCTCTCTCTCTCTCACCAGAAAGCGTCATCCACAGCTCCCCTCGCAGGGACTCCGGTATCCCCATGGCAACGAGTCTCTGGATCTTCTCCGTGCGGAACATGTGGACGCCGCGACCAAACTCGGAGAAATGGTCGTCCCACAGCCGCTCCTTCACCTGCTCCATGCTCTGGCACACACAGACTCGCACATCAACACGACGGCACAGAACAACAACACGCGATCCTCCCGCCGCAGCGAGGACGGTTGAGTTTCTTTAGAATCTGAGCTGGGACGTCAGGCGGCTCTCACCTTGGTGCCGTTGGTCCCTGGTTTGTTTTGGTGGAAGGCCGTCATCAGAGCCTCACTGTTGACCGTGTTACGCAGAACCTGCTCCTCGATCTCCTCCTCGGCTGAATACCCAGTGTCGTAGTAGAAGGTGTAGTACGGGGTCGGCGAGCGCTGAGGGGAGAAAATGTGGCAGATATTTGTCTGAAGTAGCAACAAACACATCGCATCGCGCTGAGTTTACTCACCAAACTCCTCTTGCCGTCTTTCCTGCCGCGGAACATGGACTGTTTCCACTGCAGGGATCGGAGTCTGGAGTTCAGGCTCTCCACCAGCTCGTCTCTGTCCTGCAGCTCGATCAGCTGGAACGCCTTCTTCGTCCGGATGCTCACGATGACGGGGTTGGGAAGCAAAGTGGTGCTCTCTGCTTTTTCTATGGACAACACCTGAGGAGAAAATGGAGGGAACAGATTCCATCAACACAACATGGATAAGAAGAAAGATTAAACCAGGAATCCAAGAGGAAATGAAAGAAGAACAAAATCACATCAAATAAACTATATTATATAAAGATGTAAAAACAAAAACTAAAGTTGTTTGTGATAATCTGAATTAAACGTGACTGCACAGGAAATGTGGGGAACACAGGAGACAATAGAGGGTAAAGAGCATCTGGAGGAGCAGAAGGAGAATTATTACTTATTCACAGTAACACACTGGCTCCAGAGGAAGTGATTATACTTTTGTAAAGACAAAGCTCCAACAGAAAACTGAGGAAATAGAGGATTAAGCTGCAGCGGAGGACGGAGGAGAGCGTGGTGCATGTTTCCCAGAAACGTTCCACTTCCTGGATCCAAATCAAAATGTTTTATTGACGGACAGGAGGTGAAAACTACGAATAAATAATTCAATTCCATCTAGTGTTTGATTCAGTTTAAATCTCTATTGACATTAACTGATGTATTTGAAGGTGTCAAATCTAGAACTCTTCACTTTATTCTGTCATTGTCTGATTTATTTCGGTTTAGTTGTTTCAGTTCAACAGCTGCTCGGTCTGTTGATGAACAATGAGTCATCTCCTCCGTCCTCCGTCTATTGTCTCCTGTATTCTACACATTTCCTGTGCAGTCACGTTTAATTCAGATTATCAGAATATTTATTTAACCGTCTTAAAACCAAGCACATTGAGGGAACTGGTTTCTGTGAGTTGGTGACATTTGGTGCAGGTTGATTGAATTTAAGCTCGACTGAGTGACACTAACCTAGAGCTGCAGTAAACCAGTGTAACAGTCAGAGAGCAGATTGCCCTGCAGGCTCCTCCAGTGTGATGTGTAAACGTGTGTGAACATTATCCACCACACTGAACCAGTTTGTGTGTGTTACTGTTTAACCTGCAGCAGGCAGAATAAACAAACTGCTAAACATCGGAGGTCCATTAAAAAAGCTGCAGACTCGCTGCAGGAAGTCTCAGATAACAGGTCTGTGATTAAAGAGTCTGCACAGCAGCGATCAGAGGGAAGGAGCCGAGCTATCAAGGTTCAGCTGAAACAACCAAACTACATAAAGTAACAGAAACCATCTTTGTGAAACTTGTACTTTGGTTGTTACATCACTAATCATAACTAATCCAGGGATAATAGGTTATTTTGGGAAATTTAACCCAAAGAAACCAGCTTCTCTGTCAGAGGTCAAACACACAGGCTGAGAGAAACATTCTTTACTAATGTGCAGCTTTATAACTTTCAGTTATTCTTTGTATTTATTGGGAACTAATGGAGAATTGGTCCCATTTTCCCGGAAACGTTCCACTTCCTTTAACCGCCGCGCTGCGCTCCCTGTGCCGTACCTCAGTGAGGGGGATGAGCAGGGTGCAGTTGCCTTCCTCCCGGCTGGAGAAACACAGATAATTGTCGGCGGTGTAGAGCGTCCCGCTCGTGTGGCAGCGGGCGTGGGGGGTCCACACCGAACAGGACGCCACCTCATAAAGCCTCTCGCCGCGGGGGAGCCGAAACAGAGCCAGGACGTACTCCCTCAACGCCTGCTCCTCCAGGACCCTGAGGAGGAGGAGATGAGGGGGAGGAGTTCGTCTCTGTTATTAGATATGACATAAGACATTTTCAATTAGTTTTATGTGTTCAGTAGTTTTCAATCATTGCATTATACCTTAATACTTCCTTTGTTTAAATTTCACCTGCCTTGTTTCCTTTTAACTATGCCACACTCTTATTTCATTAGTTAGTATTATCACTGTTATATTATTATTATTATTATTTTTATTATAAATGCCTGTTGCTGTGGATGATAATTTAAGAAAGTACAAAGCCGGTCAGTGTCACGTTGACATCACTGGACAAAATCATGTGATTTTGAGCATGAGGGCAAAGAGCTCGTCTGACTTTATGCTCCCAATAAAATCTCATTTGAAATCGTAAAGTGTCAAACACAGTTCTTTAGCTTTATCACTGTTTCAGACACTTTCAGTTTGAACACGTGGTTCTGACAGAGTTCGTCCATCCTGCGTGTTGACCATGAAACAAACAGGCTCAGAGATTCTCATTGTTCTCCAGGGCTGTTCGGTCAGTTTTTGTGAAAACAACACATCTATTTTTGGGTGATGCTCCTCCCCAGACAGAAATGTAAGAGGCAGTGAGCTGAGCTCTTCAGTGATACTGTCGTCCAGTCTGAAAGGCACATTGTGCACATATGGGTGGATCACTGGGGGCAGATTTGGAGCATGGGGGGGTTTCTGACTCCAGGCTCCAGTCATGTGACACAGAGAACTGACTCCTTGACTCGAAGCCAAATCTGGTTTGAGCCGTGAGGAGATCAGTTCAGTTTTAAACAGCTTTTTGTTCTTGTTTTTCTCTAATCCATGAACCCAGATCCCACATTTTTCTCTGCAACAAAACACCACTACAACACGGACTCTACTCAAGCGTAAAGAAAACAAGAAATGTCCAGAGTGATAAAACTTTGGAAACCCCCTACATCTCTCTAACATCAGAATGGGGGGAGCTGCCGCCGCCCCCTTCTGTAACCAGCACCCAGGTTTGTGCTTCTCCCTTCAGCTTTCTGTTTTCACATTCTTTCGTCATGAATCAAAACTGATAAGTCGTGAAGCTGAGCATCGTCTTTCCGACGCCAGCGTCAGACACCAGGAGCAGCACCGACCTCTTTGTGATGCGCGCCGGCTGCTGCAGAACTCGGTCCAGCTCCAGACCCTCGCTGTCCAGCAGCCGCCTGAGGGCGATGTCAGCCAGCTGACCTATGACCCCGAACACCTCCTCCAGGTTCAAGAACATGGAGAACTCCCTCTGCCGCTGCCGGGTGTGGACCACGATCGCCTCCGTCATCAGACCGGTGGAGACCCGCTCCAGCCGCGTCACCTCTGCCCAGGGAATGACAAATTTAACTGTGGAAGAAAGAAGAGAATAAAACCTTTCAGTTTCTTAAGACTAAAGAGAAACTATCGGAAACTGCAGTAAAATATGTCGTTCGTTGGTGAAAACCAAAGATCGAGATTCCATGAAGTCACGTTTTAAGAGTTCCCTTAGTTTGTGTTTGATCTACTTCCATCAAAGCGATGGAGGCACAATAGAAGTGTTTGTTCATGTTTGTTTGAGCTACACTGAGAACTGGCTCACTAGCTTTGATCTGGCAGCGTTACAAAGAGAACGAGAAGCATCAGAGGGGCTTGGTTTATCGTGAACCACGAGTACACCCCCATCAGGCAACGCTGACCTCAACATTTTGTACTGTCATGACAGTGAGTTGGTTTTCTACAAATGAACTCAGTCTAGTATTACACTGAGACTAAATCAAATCCAGATGTGGAACAGCGGAGAAATCGATTCTTCTGTTTGGTTTCATGGACAAATGTCTTGACACATATCTTTTTCTGTAATTCTGCGTTACGGCTGGAATTTCTTGTAACTGCCATGAACGACTGTAACTGATGGAGAAAAAATCATATCAGACTTTGAAAGTCGGAGCTGTCACTTCAGCGTACGGACCTTCCTTCCCCAGCAGGAAGGAGTAGAAGGCCATGTGGTTGATACTGAGGTAGAGGAAGCCCTGTCGAGGCACCCGGCCCTTCCAGCAGCAGCAGGAGTAGTACGTCACCAGCTTCTCCGACGACGGGAGGCCAAAGTGCAACTCGAACTTCAGCAGAGCCTCCCTGAACTTCTCTGGCTCCTCCTCCTGAGCAGCCTGGCGGCCCCGGACCTCCTCCGCTATGAGGCCCTGCAGAGAAAACAATCCACGTCAACATCATCATCTAGACGTTTAAGACGATGCTCTGCAGCGGTGGCAGTTTCACACCTTCACTTTTCCTTTGACGAAGCTGGCGACATCCTCCTTGTTCTCAAACACAGACAGAGAGTGCAGCAGGTTGTGGAGCAGCCAGTCCCAGTGCCTGTTCACCTCCTCTATGGCAGCTCCTGATGGACGAGGAGGGATTTAACGTCAGTCGAAACGCAGACCGCAGGACGCTCGACCGATTCATCAACTGACTGACAAGAATCTTTCACAGACGTATCAGTATCTGCATTTATTTTACAGAATAATGTTTATTTTATTCATGGGTATTCATGATAAAGTTAAGGTTGAACTGTTAAAGGTTAAGAGTCAATTCCATTTTGTATCATGAGGGTTTGTTAAGGACACGTTAGAAATCAATGTTTTACTCGTTGACATCGGTCGAGCTCGTCTGAAATGAGAGAAGATAAAGAGAGAAGACGGACAGCAGGAAGGTGGCGTCTCGGAGAAGGAGACCTGATGCTCCAGCTCACCGCTAGCGATGACCCAGCTGACCTGGGAGCCCGGGACCTGCAGGAGGATGCGGAAGGGCGTGACCCTGGCGTTGGAGTCCAACACCGTGTCCAGCGCACCCACCAGGAGACCTGCAGGGACGAAGACACACAGAGTTGAAATTATGATGGAGCTCGGGCAGGATGGATATTTTCAGCCACTGAGACCAAGAGCCAACCGGCAAATCACAGGATCAACATACGGAGACAAACGACCATTTACAACTATGTGGTGGATTTAGAGCCTCTAATTAATCTACTGGTGTCAGACATCAAATTAAATCAAGATTGAATAAACCTCATAATAAATAGTATTATGGGATGTTGAGTACTGCAATGTGTCACAGCGATGGAAACTTTTCTATCAACATTCATGTATTTGCAGGTGTACACTTCACAACACAGAGCCACTGCAGAGAAGAGGGAACCAACCTCATTACAGATTAATTGTTTCTTTAATTGTCTCATTTAAAAACCGGAGGACGTCAGTGGGTGATAAACTTCTGTCTCTTCGGTGGACAACTAAAACAGCTCAGGTTTAATGTTTAAATCCAACAGGAGACACGTTCAGAGGAACCTCACTGGTGATGCATACAGACACAATCAAGTCCACAGATGTTCAGAAGAATAGAATAAACCCCAAAGAACCAATAATGTCAAATGAATTCATGCAATTCAATTATAAAGCAAATAGAAACACACGGTCTCTGAACAGACAGTGTCTCAAAAGGCTGCCGTCACGTTTTCATCTTCCCCAAACCACGGCTAATACAAATCATGCTTTTCCAATAACGACAATCTTGGCGATGGTTTAATTCCTCATTTGCTCCGTGAAGAGGCGGTTCAGTATTCTGCTTTAAAAAAGGAACGGATCAGAGATGCTGCACGCCTCCAAAGAAATGTAAACTGTAATTTAGTAAAATATCAAACCTCAGCTACATTTCTTTTTAACTTAGAACAGAACATTTTGAACAAAACTTTATTTCTTAGATATTTATTATTATTATTATTTCATCAGTAGTTCAGCCCAGAGAAAAAACACTTCAAATGTTTGTACTGAGGCGGCGTTATTATCAGTCAGATCAACCCAACATACCACAGCTCAGTGTAACCCTGCGAGGGCACGAGGGAGCTGGATCTCTGACTGTGTTCAGCACTGAGCTCTCACAACAACAACACACACACACACACACACACACACACACACACCTTTAACAAGTGAGACGCCAGAGTCACAATCACTTCTCCTGCATTCTTGAGAATAATATTTAACAGGCTATCAAACAGTGAAGCCTCCTCAAGCTTCCAAAACAGCAACTAACCCTGAATCAGAATGTGATTCACTGGAGATGTTTTTTGTTTTGTGTGAGAGTCACATCAGGAGAGGTTGCTTCTTGTTCACATGCAGGCTAAAACAGTGAACACAGCAAAATGCACCGCCAGTCACCCAGCCTCAATGAAAAGTATTGTAACCTTGAAAAAGGCCCAAAGTGCTGGAACCTGAGCAGGTGAAGTGAGAAGTCAAGATAAAGCTGCAGCTCTGGTTCTCAGCCAAATGTAAAGCACATCTTAAAGAGTGGACCCGCCTGAAGCTGCGGACACGGCAGCCTGGCAACACAAAACCATCCGTCTGTCACCACCAGGCCCAGGAGGGGTTTCCACTTTAAACTCTCCAGACGAGAAGGAAAGGGAGACGAGCGTCGATGTGAATCGGCGCCTTTCTCTGCCGACGGTGGGGGAACGCTGCTGCGGAGATACAAAGGCTGCACTCGACCTTTACGAGGCTCCTGGAACCAGACTGTAATGTCTGTTCGCTCTTGAATGCACTATAATTAATTGGCTGTTTTTGTTTTTCTTGTCTCGGAGAATTAAGCAAACTGGTCAAATACAGAAACTTTCAGCTTTATCAGGAGAAACATTAGGTTGGAAATAAACCCACAGAGGCCGAAGGAGGAGCTGATCAGCTGCAGATGTTTCTGTGAAATCCAGCAGAGAGTGTGACATCACTGGAAAGTTTGTTTTCACAGCTTTGAATTTCAGTTTTAAGTTTCATCTTCACAGCTGGAAACATTTTTTTTTTTAAAGCCAGAAGTGCTCAGTGCTGTTTCCTCCAGCCTGTGTGGCAGGAACGCCAACGCGAAGGTCGTTTAAAGGACGCGACAACAGGACTTGACCCTTCACCCCTCTCCATGGGAACAACAGGGACAAACATACACACACAGCAAACACTGGCCATCAGGAAGTTCCTGCTATTCTGCTTTATGAGAAGAGAGTCGGCCCTGTTTCACCACAGCACTGAGGAAAGAGCACGAGGACGACACTGTGCGGGTTGTGGGCCTGTTTTATTGTTATGAAATGTTCCTCATCACGTAAATCTGCAGCACAGTCGACTACCAGTGCGTCTCCTGCAGCACGGAGAGGAAGAGAGACAGAGGAAACACAGTCAACGGGCCGAGATCACGGCAGTGGGAAGCAGAACAGCTGCAACGAGCATGGGGACGGAAATTTGTTTAATCAGACAAAAACAGAACTTGTTCTATCGGGTGAAACATTTGAATGTTCAAAATTAAACACAACACAAGCCCACAGGAGGTCTGAACTTATACCGCAGAGAAAAACTGTAAGAGGAGCGAGGTGAGTTAAATGACCTGAGTCTGAGAATTCTTCAAAAACAAAAGTTGCACAAGTCAGAGAGAAGAGGTGATTTTGTATGTTGGCTCTGTTCGGCAATTCTTTTTTTAATGGAGAATATAAAAATGACGACAATGGAGTACTTTAAGACATTTACACCTTTTTCAAAAGTGTCCCAACTGAGAAACCAACAAGCCAAAGCAACCAAATGGAATCCAGCCATCATTCATTTTATTTTATAGTTTTTTCTTGCAGCATGTCAACATCTGAAAGATAAAGATCTGCTGCTGTGGAAAAGTTAAGTGCAGCGAACTAGGTCACAATTAAGTGAAGTCAACTCTGTTCTCTTATTCTGTCAGTCGGTTCATCTTATATTTCTAGTCTAGTTCTATTCTCGTAAAAATTGCGGTTGCACCAGGAACCGCCCCCGACTCCACTTCTGGTTTCGAGACTTCACATGTAGCGCTTCACTTAATGGCAACTGAGGAGATTTTGTTATGACGCAATAGATCTTCACATATTTTCTTGTGTTTCTGGTGTTGACCCGACGTATTAACCAAAGTTTGAGGCTCTGGGGGGATGAGAACTGGCTCTGGGCCTCCGGAGGGTTGAGGTCAAGTTAATCTGCCAAATAGTGACACAGTTGGTTTCAGTTGCCGTGGCAGCACATACACACACTGAGGCAAAGCGTCAGTGTGGCACAGGGACATTCCTGTCAAACCAGGATTAATAATAATCCTGAATTTTGGTTCAACACATCTAATCCTTCTTTCTGGACTCGATCTGTTGTTTACCTGTGACGCTACCTGCTGAATATGACCTTCCCTGTGTTTGTTCCTGTTGTTTACCTCTTGTGTTCCCTGACAGCTGGCTCTCTTGTTCTGCCTGTATTTGTGGTTTACCTGTGGTTCTGTCTGTAGTTTACCTGTGGTTCTCTCT